GATTGGGTTTCCAGTTCCTTTTCAGAAACTCTCCTCATTTTCTTTCACTCCCAGTAACCCCTTGTGTCATTATTGCCTTGGCTGGGGTGAAATGATTTAAAACAAAAATAATGTAGCTGTGGTCACTGTATGGAATTGATTGATTGATTGATTGATTGATTGATTTGGTTTTTTACAGCTTATCAACCCTTTTGTAGGTTATTTAAAGCCAGCAAATATTTTTGGATTGTAAGAATTTTTTTTTTTGTGAATAAATATTGCATTAATAATCTTTTGGAGATAACAATGTTTTTTCCAGATATAAATCCTACTATTTAACCCATAGTTGGGAGGAGAACAGATGGATTCATACCTTTCCCATAAACTCAACTGGAATTTGAAATTAGGTTCTCCAATTTCTCATTCCAAGCAACTATCCATTACACCACCTGCACATCCCCCACACTGGATGGAAAGAAATCTATGCAAGATGTCAGAAGTAACGATGAGTATGATTTTTTGCAATTCACCTGTTTTAATATGTGGATCAGATTCCTGGTACCCCCTAAAAAAATAAAAATATAATAATAATAATAATTTTTGTTTTTATTAATATACAGGTATACCTCACCCTACATTGTTAATTGGTTCCAGAGGTCACGACTTAGGTCAAAAAATGACTTAAGTCATAATAACCACACTATAAACCATGAATAAGCACTCCCTATTACAATATTTATGATATGTACGTCCAGTATTCTGAATAAAATAATTAATTTTCACCTTATCTTCCAGTAATATAGCTTTACGCTTAGCATTAGCACTTGCAGTTGGAATTTTCTTTGGAGCCATAGACAAAAATGTATTCTAAATCACAAGTGAAATGTAAATTGAAAGAACCTCAACAGCAGAGCACAGATGTAAACAAGTCCAAATTTAAAATCAACGTTGGAGTAGAAAACAACAAACGAGTGCTGTCTGTCAGCAGGAATTTGTAATAAGAACATCTGCTGAACAGACCTTATTATGCTAAATTTTTGTTTTTGATTATTTTATGATATGTAGTATATATATATTTTTGATTATTTATTTTATTTATATATAGCATATATAATATATAGTATATATAACATTATTTTTACATTTATTTAAATATGATTTTATATGTGTTTATTGTTATTTTAGTGATTTGACATATCTAATATTTTTAATGGCTGACATAAACTCGAGTAAAACGACCTAAGGCAACTGTTTTATTTTTCCATATAATATTTAAAAAAAAACAACATATCTTCAAAAATGACTTACTCAAAGCAACTTAGGCCGAGGTATCCTCACTGTATTTGTGCTAGAACTCTCACAGTTATTGTTGGGGATCAAATAATAGCATGTCTCCTCAAATCTTACTAATTTTTAAAATCAGTGTTTGTAAGTAGGACATATACCATATTAGATGACAGTCTCTGACACAAGGCCACAGTGCTTCATAATTAAACTCACAATTTTCTGCTAGATTAGATTACTTTCAATTTCTTCACAAGCAAGAAAGGCAAAGTTGCATTTCTCAACTTGGAACCTTATTAAGGTTTTAGGATCTTAATCTAAAAAACATTCACCCCAAGCAAGATAATAATGCCACTAAGACACAGGGAGCTACTGGGAGTGAAAGAGAATGAGAAGATTTCAGAATGAATCAGAAACCCAATCCTAAGCAGGAAACAAAGGATAAACCTCTACTCCTGTTCAAAAGACCAGAGAGTAGTATGAACTGGATGATTTTATGTGTTTGGTATTTACTAATTCCACACCCTGAATTTTTATGATTGATTCAGGGTATGTGCCATCACTGCTTTCATTCCAATTCCAGATTATAGTTTCTGTTTTGGAAACGTTTGAGTCCTATTTCTTGAAACACTTGATAGAGGATGTGGATTTTCATTCCTATCTCAACTATGCATATCTATGTCATCAGCATAGTCACCCATCAATATATTGACCTATAAAATCAGAATTGCTGCCTTCTATTAGTTGAGTCATTTGGGACTGAGGAAGCAGAGAGCAGCATTTGAATTCCAGTCAAATCCAAAAACATTCACTTATATGCTAATACCCTTGGGAAAGGTATGAATCCTCCTCCTCTTCTCCCTCCAGCTATGGGTAAAATAGCAGGACACACCAGGTTCTATAGCTCTGGATGGCAACAGGTCTACTGCAGAAAGAAATAGTAACCTGCTGCGGAAAAAAAACTGCCTCGTCAGTCATGTATCAAAAGATACATCTGTATCACGCATGGCACGTAACTGACTGAATCTAAAAAAAAAAAAACAGGTTTGTGGTTACAAGGTTTTTAAAGGTTGCTCCTGAAAAAGTTGAGAAATGCTGCAGTGAGAATTAACCTCACAAGCTGATTTATAGTTTACGGATTTTTGCCACTGCCAGAGATTGATTCTTGAGCCCAGGTGAAAAACCAGAATTCTGAATGCTGACTTTCTAATTAAGCAAACTTATGATCCTATTGGCATAAGTCTTCCATTTTTCTTCCGCCATCTGTGCTGGCCCTGTCACCAGAATGTTTAGAGTGTTAGTGGTGATGAGGGGGCTTTAAGTCGGACGACGGGAGTGGGGAAGAGTAAGAATTTGCACACTAAAATTAGTTTTTAACGTCATTTTCACAAGGGACAAACAATTTTCGAGAGTGGAGCTCCCAAGCCCCGACTTTGCTACGGTCCTGCGTACCAAGGTAACAATCGCTTACGATGACGCATGATATTAAAAATACATGCCTTTGAATCTTGAATGTGTAAAAGTGAATGCCCATTAAAAAAAAGAAGTTTTATTAGTCATAATTGAGAATTTTTTCTTTCTTACCATGTCAAAAGTCTTTAAAAGCTTTTACCCATTGATGGATGAATAAATATTTGAAATAAAATCAATAACTATGTTAGAAAATAGAAATGCATTTTTTTATTCATCCTTGATAATGCTATTTAATTTCTACATGACACATTCTTCGCAGATTTTTCTTCTGAGAATGAAAAAAAAAAAAGAAATGTAGGTACGTTTATAATTTTTTACTTAAATTAATTATTGGAATGAAATGTTAATTCTCTAGTTTTAATTAATGCAATAATTTTTAGTTGGTTTAAAAATGTACCACCAAAAATAAGTAAATAAAAAACAGAATCTTTAGAAAAGCGGCTTAAATAAAGTTTGTTTTTTTGTTTTTTAATGTGAGGAAAGTTTCTAATTAATTTTGGTTCATTGACGTTTCGGTTTACCGTTTATTCGTTGTTGTCAAGGTTTTGATGTTACACTGTTATGAAAGAGAAAATACTGCAACTGACTCAGAACTTACACACACTCACATGTGTAAAGAATAAGAGAAATAAACATAATTTATAAATATAAATTATGTGGAAATTAGTAATAGAAAAGGAGAAAGAAAGAGTAAGTGAAGTGTAGTAAGTAAACCAAACTGCCTTCCATTATTCAGTCCGACGAGAGAAAGACTGATTTTTTAACTGAAACCTTCTATTTCAAACCTATTTTATTATTGCCACAACATCATTTCATTCGACCATGAACAAGAGAGTTTAATAATACCAAGAGAATCAACAACAAGAAGACCGATTCCACACAATATCGTTAATTTAAACTTTCACGATGGTGTCATATTAAAGCGGACACGCACTTACTCCTCTCTCCCTTATAAGTCTTAGGTCGGCGCTCCCACGCCTCTCTTTACTGACCAAGGCATTTCTCCTCTGCCTTTCTCCTCATTACACTCCCTCGCTCATTTTAAAATTTCCCCCTCCTTTAGATAGTCACTTTTTTTTCTCTACCCCCTCCCTTTATGTATTTTCAGTTTCTCCCCTTCAGTTTTCCGGTTTAGCAGAACAACCGTCGCTGCTGCTAGAGTGCGAAAAGTTCGCATTTTTACGAAAGCTTCGAAAAAAAAAAGCTGTTTTAAAGAAATCGGAAAGCAAAAAAAGAAAACGACACGCTGAACCAGGATTTACTTACAATAAGCGTGCCGTTTCTTTTTTTTAATTATTATTTTTAAAAAAATACAGAAAACAGCGACTGGACTAACAGCCAACTGGGGTGGGAAAAAAAGCAAACCTCGTTTAATGAATTGTTGAAGATACGTCAATAACTTAAAATATATATATATATATCCAAGGATCTGGATTATAAAATTTATATTTATTTGTAATATATTTTCCTTCAGTACGTACGCTATGCTTTTTTTGTTTTCTAAGTAAAAATCATTTTTCAGTGCGCACATGTCTTTTGGTGTGACACTGTTTTTCTTTTTTAGTAGTTGTGATTGAATTTTTAAAATCTTTTTAAAACCTTTCTTTTATATTTCCTCCTGTTATGTTTTAAGCTTTCTACTTCAAATATAATCCATTTATAAGTAGGCTATTTTTAAAAGAATAAATAAAATAATTATTTATTATAATTCTTAAAAAAGTAATTTTAGGAAAATCTAAAATTCAGTTCCGATCTTTAAAAAAATAAGCTTTAAAAATATTTAAATTAAAATATCTTCATGTTTGATCTCTTTGTTATCTAAGAAATTATTTTCATTTCATTTTTCCATAATTCAAAGAATTCCTAATTTCAATTTATTTTATTAAGTGACAAAAAATAACCTTTCTCCGTTTAACTCTCACATCGTCACCAAGAGAAACCTTCTATTTCCACTCCAAACCATTCTCTCTATTCAACTTCTACCCTTTCCATCTCTCTTTATCCTTCCCTCTATTAGTGATATATCTATCTAAGTCGCCGTCTCACTCCTAACCCTGCACCGACTACAGTAGATTTCTTCCTTTTTCTTAGTGCTGCTAGAGCGGTTTTGTTTCTTTCTTTCGTCTTAATTTATTTTCTTACCTTTCCTACTTAGGTTGTGAGTATTGTGTTGTGTGTGTGGACATCCTACCATCATTATACAGTACATTTTTAAAAAGTAAAAAAAAAGGGAAGTCTCCAAGTATATACCAAAAAAGACAACCATGGGTTGTGCCGTGAGTAGCGACGAAAAAGCGGCCGCCGAACGGTCTAAAGCCATAGACAAATCCCTCCGTGCCGAGGGAGAACGATCAGCGAGAGAAGTTAAATTACTCTTATTAGGTAAGTATTATTGTATATACATATATGTCATGTGAAATGTTTCGTCGTTATATTTGTTATGGTGTTTGTTAAAATAAAAATGATTACAAGATTTTCCCTTGACAACGAATTTTCCTTGAAGTCCTATGTCTAAAAAAAAAAAAATTTACAAAAAAAAATAAGGATGAAAATAAATCCCACATGACAATTTCTTAAAATGTACCTTTTCCCAATGTCCCTAAATGGGGGAGGAGAAATTAAACTCCTTTCTTGAGTAGAAGAGGGTGTTTTTGACTTTTGAAATGTATTTTTAATTTATTTTTTACGGCTATGTTTACTTACTTACTTTGACTTTAAATTTTAAACTTTAATTAAATTCTCGTTGAAACTCCCTTAAAAAAAAAAAAGAAAAAAGTGCTATTGGGTGAATGTCACATCTACAACTTTTTAAATAATTACAGACTGTTTGACGTTCTCCTCGAGTAACATGGACGGTGCTCGTTAACCATCACTTCCTACTAACGAACAAATTTGTCAAAGACTCACAGTTGAAATTGAATTTAAAAGATAAAAATAAAGAATCGCTCCGAAAAAAAAAAAAAAAAAAAATATTTTAGTTTAAAAATCAAAAGGGTTTGATCTCTTTCTTTGGAAAGGCCTTTTATTTCATGAAAATCGATTTTAGTCCTGTCCAGTTTAGGCAAAAAAAAAAAAGAAAGAAAATCACGGAAGATTAAAGGAACTTATGAACAAACCTGCTTACGGCAATATTATCACGTGACCTGATACTACCCCCCCACCACTTCTTTTTCCCCCCTCTTCCAAATAAGGAACGATCACACATCAGAATAATTATTCTGTATGTTGTCAAAAATGTTAAATTTATTTATTTATTTTACTTTAAATAATGCAGGGGAAAAGGACTTAAAAAAAAAAAGCATTTCGTTTTTTGAGTTGAATTCATGAATTGTCTAAAAAAAAAACGTTTATTTTCTGCTTAAAAATGAATACATGTCGACTTAAAAAGAAAATAAGTTTCTAACTTTATATCAAAGCTTATTTCATCAATAACTGAAAATTTAATTAATTGTATTTTTCTTTATTTTTCCCTGAAAACTACATTCGTCAGTTGTAAAAAAAAAAAAAAAAATTTACAATTTAAATTTTAAAAACTATCCTCACAAAATAAAAACAGAACTTTTGACACTCCCTTCTTTCTAGTTTTTTTTCTGTTAGAATATTTTAACTTCTCAGTAAAGTGTTTTTTAGTTTCAGTAAAAAAAAAAAAACAAAACTTTAAATCGCTATAATTTTTCTGGTTTTCTCAATATCCTTTTTATAACATAATTAATAATCCATTTTTTGTTCATCTCCACCTGAATTTATTTTTATTTTCGTCTTAAAATTGGTTGTTTCTCTTAAAATCTTTTAAAATCAAATATTTTTTTTTTTTTTTTTTTTTTTTTTTTTTTTGAATTGAAGTTAGTTGGCCCACCTGCTAACCTCCTTTTTCTGTCTTTCCTTTTTTTAACCACGCTAGGAGTCACTGGCAAGGGACTTTTCAGGCTGTATGCGATCATGACTCTTCACAACTTCCCACTCTTCGTTTAGTGCTCTGTTGTGGAGAGTCGTGATCGCCCAACTTCCTGAAGGGGACACGTCACACAGAAAACTTGTCTTTTTTTCTTGTTACTTAAAAAAAAAAAAAATGCCCATTAAAATCTTTTTTTTTTTTTTTTTTTTTTTATATATATATATATATATATATATATATATATATATATATATAAAATTCTACAAACCTTGAAACAGCACTTTGCTTAAATTCTCTAAAAACTAATTCGAGAAAAAATAAATTGTCGCTTATGATAAAGAACTTATTTTGTTTTGAATTTTGATAAAATGTTTTGGGATCCTCTATTTTAGTTTCCGAAAGGTTCTGGAGTCTTGACGTACCTAGCCTCATATTTTGAGCATTTTTTTTTTCTTGTCGGCGACCAGAGTTTATAAAAGGAAACTTATTAAAAGATTGGGTTTCAGATTTTTTTGTTGCAATTTTGAAATAAAACTAAATGAATCCTACTTAATCTCTGTCAAAAACTAAAAGCTGGACAGTGGACATACTTCATTATCATGATATGAGGCGAGGGGGGAAAGGTAAAGGGAGACAATTCAGTATCGGGCAAGAAGAACGTTTCGGACGCTAAAGTAGAAGATACTCAATTTTTATTAATTCCATCCACAAATCTAACTCGTCATTAAAATTGTCAATTTTTCTCATTTTTTTTTTTTAATCAGTGGTTGTTTAAAAATGTAACTATAGCTATTTATTTCCTTGCCATTTTTTTTTGTTTTAGAATCAATCAAGTTTGATAATTTTAATTTATTTCCAGTTTTCATTTAAAACCACGTAATTAAATATCACAATTTGTTATTTATTCGTATTTAGTTTTTCAATAGAAGAAATAGTGAGAGACCCACCCCTTTTTTAATATTCTCTATAGTTTTTCTTTTATTTTTTATTTTTTGCAATGTTTTTTATTCCTTAATCTCGTCTCTTCCTGGTCTAAGATTTGCTTCAAAATACCCCCTACACGTACATACACACACCATTATTTGATCCTATGGTGGGGGCAAGCTTTGGGGTGAAGTCGACAGTCTTTGTTTATTATTAGTCATTTTCGTTCTGTGGTGACTAACTACGACAAACTACATTAAAAAGCCGAGTAAAATGGGCCATTCTTTGGGTAATGTGTTGAAAACTACATACATGCCGGTGTCAGTTGGTGATCATGCGAGTCACGAGTAGTGTACTGCTCGTCTTTATGTGTATGTAGCAATAAATATTTAATATCGGGCTCATTTCATATGAACAGGCTTTTAGTGACATGCTTCTATGATTTAGGTCTTCTTAATTATTGTGTAATTTGTTTGTACATCATACACGCACGCACTCTCACACACACACACACGGCTTTAGCCTCTAAAGATGTAACGTGCGCTGTGAGCAGTAAAGTGTGTTTAGTTTGCTATAAGTCGAAGTCTGCTACCCACATCATACAGCTTTTCCTTTACTTGGAGACACGTTAAAGCCACAACACATTGCTTTTCTTTTTTAAACAGACTAATGTTTATCTTGTTGGTGAAAGAATAAGATTAGATTCCAATTTAAAGCATTTCCCTTCTTGCTAGTTTTGCAATAGTGAAAGAAATATAGCTATTTATTTCCTTGCCATTTTTTTTCAATTATACTAGCTTGCATTTCTTAACTTTAAAGTAAACTGATCATATCTTTCTAAGTCTTGTTCTTTTCAAATTACTGATCGTATTTTGAAAAAGTCTTTGGTAACTGTACAACATTGTACATCAATAAAACATTTTGTACTAGTAAAAATTAAAATTTATTTTAAAAATGCTTCGTGTGCATTTATCCTTTATCATTTAAATCCGAAAATTATTCCTTTTAAGAGTAATTTGTTTTAATTAATAATAATACTAAAAAAAAATAAACCAAACTATTTCTGATTTAGAGACAAAAAGGCAATATTTTCTTTTTTTTTCACTTTTATTTCCCTTTTTAATATTTATTTTCTTTTCTATTTTATCATTTTTATTTCATAATTTTACACTAAAAAGTCGATGTGGATGGAGTCTCTAGCTAGCTAGAGTAAGTCATGTTTGAAATGTTTTGACAAGTATCTTCTTAAACTGAAAAAGTCGTTTTTAATTAAAACTACCACCTAAAGCTGGCATTTTGAACAGTTGGCTGTAGAATTAGCTTAGACTCTAAGACTTAGAGACTATGATGATTATTGAGAAAATACTGACAAATTGTTTAAATGATCGGTTTATGGGGTGAGTTAATGAAATTTTATTAAACTTTAATAAAATTTCATTAACTCACCCCATAATGTCATAGGTACGGTTTCGTTCATTTTTTTTTTTTTTTTTTTTTTTGTGCTAAGCTCAGCAATTTATTCATTCATATAAAAACCGTTATATATCGTGGTCATTGACATTTAAGCCAGAACATTTCTTAGAAGTGTAATTCTGTAAGGCATAAAAAAAAGTGATCATGGGCTGTTAGTCGATCTATATTCCAAATTGAAATAAGGTTCTTAATCTTAACACTTGTCACATTTTAAAATAAATTGAGGCTGGTTTAGTATTTGTCAACCAGACCATTTGTTTTTTTTGTTTTGTTTTGTTTGTTTTTTTTTTTTTTTGTCTGAAAATTAACCAAAAAACCCTATTTCACTTTTTTAAAAAGAATAAAAGATAAGTTTCTGTTTGAGGCGGTGTGGGGATAATGATTTTTACTTAAAATTTCTAAATGCATTCCTATCTTGACAGTTTTTTTGTTTTTCTTACAATTTGGAACGTAACTAAGTTCACGAGTCGGTTAGCGATCTTTTACTATTCCTAAAAAAAAAAAAAAAAAAGTAAAAAATTATCACTTTTTAGAAAACTTTTTTATTTTTTAAAAGTATTGAATTGGTTGGTACTTTGTTGTGGAGTAGTCTTGCTCGGACCGCAATGTTTAGCAAAACTGGTCTTATTACTAATAAGTGCAATATTCACTGAGTGCTTTATATTTCTGAACTTGTCAGATTTCATAGGCTAAATGATTTTTTAAACACATTTTTTAAGTTAAAATTAAAATCTACAATTACTTCCTAATTATTTAAGTTAAAAGTTTTAACTAAACAATTAGGAAGAAATTGTAGATTTTAATTTTTAAGTGAAGTAAATTTATATTTTATTCTAATTGTTAGAATTTTAAAAACAAAGTTTAACTCCAGAAAAAGCAACGTTATTTCCAGGCAAGTTTATTTTATTTTTTAATTTAACGTTTCTTTTTCTTTTTTAATAAAAACAAAGATGACACAAAAAAGGTCTTGTAAAAGTAAAACGGTAAGACTAGAGATAAAATTTGAATAAAACACAAACTCAAATTTTGCCATAGGCTACTTCCTGAACCTTTCTTTGGAAAGGCATGAATCCACATTTAAAAGTTTTGT